TAGCTACAATTTTGTAACATTATTTTATAATGAGGTAGATCTGCACATTGAGAAATGCAGATATTGTTAACATTGAAACCCACGTAAGTGCGTATGTTATTTTTAACCATGAACCATACTTCTCTATGAGAGTTACCTCCCTGATGGTAATAATCTGACTCCTGTAGCCTGATACGTCAATTATTAACATTGTCCAAAAGTGCTAATATCTCGCTAATATCGGAAAATAGGTCAACGTTTCCCGCATAGCGATAAGCTATAGCCTGTTCCCAACCCTCTCGACAGGAAGAGCTCGCTACACGGAAATGGGTCAACGTTTCGCGCAGAGCGATATGCTTTAGGCCTGTCTCCGCCCCTCTCGACAGAAAGACCCGCTTCATGGAAATGGGTCAACGTTTCACTGCAGTGAAATGCTGTATGGGGAAATAGGTCGGATAGACCTAGACTGGTACCCTTTCCTTCGCCTCCTAGCGGCTGCAGGCGAGGAGCGCAAGCGCTCTAGGGCAGGTAAACCAGTCTAGGACGGGACCTGCCTCCCTCTTATGATTGTTGCCAAATAACACAAACATGTTTTGTCTAATATTTTATATCATTCATATATTATTTGTTCATTATTATTTATGTATTTCGTATGTACGCATATGATTACACATGTAAGACAAAGATAAAGTTTCTTTTAAAAGTTTGGTTACATCTTTCCAACGATTACTTATCCCCATGGCCCTTGCCCCCATGAAATTTTCTCAAACCCATAATGATTAAAGGCACTGCACCCTGGCGCCGTGCATTGACGCCATTCTTGAGATGACGTCAAACACACATGACGCATAGTGTGTCGCCTAGGGCCTAAAAAAGAAAAACTACCAATTCAGCGGACATTTCCAGACTGCTTCAATTCTCTTGATATGCACAACGACGAAGAGCTCTTTGAAAGATTTTGTCGGCCTACCATTGTTTTCATCGTTGGTCTAATCGGTGATGAACTGGCACACCCCACTCAATGCTCCCACAGTCTCCCACCTATTATGAAAGTTTTGATATTCCTTCAGTTTGTTGCCACTGGGGCTTTTCACCTATTAGTTACTCCGTCGTTTTGTGTTAGCCATATTGGATAATGTTTACAAAATCACGTCATACGTACACTGGTATTGAGACTGAAATTCCATCACCGTTATTTCAAAATCAGCTGCGATACCCACATCCTTGAATTCCTCATACATGGTCTTCACCGGTAAAACGACAATTAAAAAGCTGGGACATACCTGAGGATAAACACTTGAAAAAAAATCAGATTTTTGTCAAGGTTTATTTTTCGTGTTATAAAGCTTTTTTGGGGAGTCTATTTTTTCACACTTGAACTATCTTAAAGCCTAGACTCTTTGTTTTGTCAGCACTACCTTCTTGCCAATGCTTCACGTACTGCGCAGATATCTGCATTTCTGTGGACACCCACAAATAACCTGCATGCTCTCTTCTGAAAAAAGGAACGAAATTGCCTGTCACGAAAATTACATTGTTGCACGGTGTGTAACTTTAAAAAAAATATTCAGGCTTATATTTTTAAATAAAAACATATCTAGTTTTGCAGCGGTAGCTAAATCAATATCTGATGTCCATACAAAGTCCGAGAATATCAAATGATCAGTCCTTCAGACAACATCGCCAGCGTATTGCCCTCTTGTCTTTCCAACGTGCCAACAGTCCCATTCTGCCTACAGTCCCATTCTGCCTACAGTCCCAATCTGCCTACAGTCCTATTCAGCCTACAGCCCCATTCTGCCTACAGTCCCAATCTGCCTACAGTCCTATTCAGCCTACAGCCCCATTCTGCCTACAGTCCCATTCTGCCTACAGTCCCATTCTGCCCACAGTCCTATTCTTCCTACAGCCCTACTCTGCCTACAGTCCCATTCTGCCTGCAGTCCCATTCTGCCTGCAGCCCCATTCTGCCTACAGTCCTATTCTGCCTATACAGTCCCATTCTGCCTACACTCCCATTCTGCCTACAGCCCCATTCTGCCTACAGTCCTATTCTGCCTATACAGTCCCATTCTGCCTACACTCCCATTCTGCCTACAGCCCCATTCTGCCTACAGTCCTATTCTGCCTACAGTCCTATTCTGCCTACAGTCCCATTCTGCCTACAGTCCTATTCTGCCTGCAGTCCCATTCTGCAGTCCAAATCATGAAATGATACGGTCTGATGCTCAGAGAGTGATGCATCAGTAGACATGACTGTTATCTCAACATCTCTGCTCAGCTTAAGAACTGGCGTGTTTGAACACACAATGGACTAGAACTGAAAATGCACTGATCTAAAAAATAGTTAATTGATGTGATTGATTCTATATTATTTTGTTTTAACATTTTATACAGGAAGATGCATTAGTACAAGCCTGACTTGATTGGTCAACAGATATTAAAAATACATAAGTCAAACAATTGTGGTTCAGTCCATTAACATAAATAGGGATGAAACTGAGTTCCTACTGTGCCTACATTATTTTCTGTAGGCAAATTTATGATGTAGGCACAATGGGACTAAACCGTAGCAGTAATGAGATGCTTACGTTATCTATGACGACACCATTCTTCAGATGTCCTTGTTCTACACGTCTAGATACAGTAAACTACGTTTATAACGAAAACGCTTAAAACGAACTGGCGGATATAAGGAACTGTTGTTTTTTGCCTGGCCTTTTGCTGTATATATATGTTTATAACGAACTACGGTTATAACGAACTAAAATTACTGGCCCCCTTGAGTTCATTATAACCGTAGTGTACTGTACATTAAACATAGGCGTTAACATGTCATTTACACGCACAGTACATTTAATAATATTGTACAATGATTGTATCGTATTGTACATGGTCCCCTTAAAACCGGCTCTCCTCAAAACAAAGGCGGGATCTGTCTAAACTGTCGAATGCCTTTCTAAAATATATAAAGCATGCAAAGGTTTGGTGTTTAGCACCAAGTCTGTACTTTACTAACGAGTGAAGACAGAACGTTTGGTCTAAGCACCTCCTGTGTTGCCGGGCAACCAAAACACTTACAGATGGCAGCCACGAGGAAACGTTTGTTCAAAACGTCACAGTATTTTTTAAACGTCATAAATGATAGTTATTTCATGCGTACTACTAGTAAAACAAACGAAGAAATCCGTCTCTCTGTGTTACCACTTTGTTACTCCATTATGGCTGTGCCAGTGTCGGGGCGGTCGGGTAGCCTGTTGGTTAAATCGTTCGCTCGTCACGCCGAAGACCCGGGTTCGATTCCCGACATGGGTACAATGTGTGAAGCCCATTTCTGGTGTCCACCGCCGTGATATTGCTGGAATATTGCTAAAAGCGGCGTAAAATCAAACTCACTCACTCACTGTGCCAGTGTCATATACACTACGGCTACAAATCTCAGTCACCGGATTGTCTGGCCCAGACCCAATTATTTACAGACGGCCGTCATATAGCTGGAATATTGCTGAGTGCGGCGTTAAACAACAATAACAACAACTGTTACAAAAGCATCAGAACATCGCTTCCCGCAGCGCGGAATTCGTGTAGACTTAGATCCGCGCTCGCGATTCTGTGTTTGTTTGTTTGTTTGTTTGTTTGTTGTATAACGCCGTACTCAGATACATTACAGCTAAATGACGGATATCTGTAAATAATAGAGTCTTGACCAGACAATCCAGTAATTGACATCATGAGCATAGATCTACGCAATTGGGATACGATGACATGCATCAACCAAGTCAGCGAATCAGACCACCCACTTGTCAAACAAATAGATTGGTTGGTTGGTTTGTTGTTTAACGCCGCACTCAGCAATATTCCAGCTATATGACGGCGGTCTGTAAATAATCGAGTCTGGACCAGACAATCCTGTGATTAATATCATGAGCATCGATCCACGCAATTGGGATCGATGACATGCATCAACCAAGTCAGCGAACCTGACCACCCGATCCCGTTAGTCGCCTTTTACGACAAGCATGGGTTGCTGAAGACCTTTTCTACCCCGGAATCTTCATGGGTCCAAACAAATAGATGTCGTTTAAGAACAGACACCCACATTCGGCACGGCTGACTTATTATTATTATATACTGATAAAAATGAGGTAAAAACCACCCGATTCTTACATATTACTGTTGTTAATTCGAGATGTGGTGACAAGTTAACTTTTTTAATGTGAAAGAATCGGGTGGTCCCTAACGCTTTAAGTATATATATATAATGACATAAAAGGCATCCTTTCAAACATAGATTCATCTCACTGTCTCATGACGTTATGTTCGTGTCCTGGCTGCAGGTTACTGGTTGTGTAATCGCGTTTCGTTTTAATTAATGGGGATTCATTATACTCCATGAACATTGTGACGATCATTGCAACACCCTGCTTCAATTCATAAAGCCCCCATTGAAGGGCGTCGTAGCAGAATTATGGGAATACAATATAGCAGGACTGTGAGAAAATGCAGAAATTCCACAACTTTTATGAATGAAATAAACCTGAATAAGTTCCCAATTTCCACAACTATGAATGTAGCAAAGTTAAGCAAAAGGGGAGAAAACTGATATAAGACAAAATCATCAAATTAATTCCTCGCACCTGTTGAGCAAGGAAACGAAAACGGATTTGGAAATTTCTTTATTAAACCCGCCAACTCAAATCTTTTTCAATGACAATGAAAACACTGGTCTTTTTATTCGCTAAATGAAACGGGTTCAGAGAAGTCCTTATGGTCATAAATAACATAATTCGAGCTAATTTGAAACCAGATTTAATCCGAAACGAAAATCATCAATATCACACGATTTTCCACTCGAGTCAGTAACACTTGTTGCGCGCGGTCGCGTGTAAGCATTGATTCAACTTGAAATGTTGTTAGTGTAAACATGTTTATCGGGAAAGACAAACATAGTACACATGGCGGCCATTTGCAAGGGTCATTTGTCATGTCTGTCACCGGGTATATATTAGGGGCAAGCCAATCATTCTGCCGCATACCCCTTTCAGTCTCGGAGCTGCTCACTTGGAGAAAACACGAGATCGCGCCCTGAAAGTCTCACAATGATGAGGATATTGGCTTGTCTCATTGTAGTGGCAACATTTTGTCCAACGCAGTCGGCGACACTTCACAGGGTAATTATTTTTAATTCTTCATTTAGTTTGGGAATTCATCATTCACTTTAGGAATTTCTTGTAAGAATTTTGTCAGTGTATGGGATTTTTTACATCAAATTTTGCCAAAAACGCATTATGCTATGTGTGGAAAAGAAAAGAATAATTTTAAGAATAAGAAAAATAACTATTTTCAAAATTGTACCGTGCTCAATATTGGAGGAAAAGCGAAATTATGTCATGAACGTCTTACAACGTTGAAGATAATGGCTTGTCGGATGGTCGTGGTATCGTTTGGTTCAACGCACTCGGTACTTTCAAGTGATAATCAGTTTAAATTTTTAACACTTACTTTGATAATTAATAATAAGTATATTTAGTATAATTATATCGTGTTAAATGCTAAAGTATTTTTAAATATAAAATTTTACAGTCCACTCTTTGGTTGAGTAAGACTGGTTCCACTAGAGTCTGTATTTGCCGCCGCTACGTTAAATTCGTCACACCTATAGAGACTTAGGGAGATATTGGTTACGTGTCATATCTTCGTAATTTCCGGAAAATTAGATTACATAGGGGTAAGATTTAGCATGAAATAGCGTCATTTTCATAAATTCAATTTATTTGTATCCGAACGTGGTGTGTAGTGGTAGTGTTTACGAGAAGGTAATATCAGAATGATATTTCAGAAATGTAATAAATCTGTCATTATCACAACACATCTCGTCTCCCCAGCGTAAGAAATTAATAGAACGCTTTAATAGTCACAAGAGCTTGTGAGAAAAAAGGACAATGTATGATTGGAGCCGTTGAGGCTCACGGGATATGTACAATTTAGAAATGAGGAAAGGTTTACAAATCATTCTGCCAGTAATCAGATGTGTTCACGAGAATGAAAATTAGACGTTCATTTCAACAATTGCATGTTTTAGACTTATGACAACACGTATAGGGGTGGTCGGGTAGCCTAGTGGGTAAGCGTGCGCTCGTCATGCCAAAGGCACAGGTTCGATATCCCACATGGGTACAATGTGTGAAGCCCATTTCTGGTGTCTGCCGCCGTGATATTGCTGGAATATTGCTAAAACCGGCGTTAAGCCTAATCACTCACTCACTCACTCACTATGACAACACGTAAGGATAACGTAATACTAAATGTGTCAAAAAGGCTGATTTAAGAGGATTTCAGGAATTTGGAATTTTCAGGAACGTAACGATAAACATTTAGATAAAAACAGTACCGGCATATTGTCATATTGTCTTGGGTCACGGATTTGCTCATACTAGTAACACACAAATAGAGCCCTTCTGCCCGTCTGTACCAGCTCAGCTGAGGAACAATAGCAGTTCTTATTGTTTCATTTGTAGAAGCTTGGAGCGAAATGTGTGTGATCTCAGTGTCGGGTGACAAGATAATGTGCATCCAGTCGTCCACTCTGGTTATAACGCCCCTGTTATAATGCCATCCTGGTTACAATGACGTGTTTTTCTCAGAACGGAATCACGCAGTGCAAACTTCCCTTGTTATAATGCCATCCTGGTTACAATGCCATGTTTTTCTCAGAACGGAATCACGCAGTGCAAGATTCCCTGTTTTTAATGCCACCCTGGTTATAATGCCAATGCCAATGGGGTTTTTTCAGAACAAACGTTCCGATTCCCTGGTTATAATGCCATTGGGTTTGAAATTTTGACAAAAACTTGAAGTTTATCTTTCAGGGATAATTTTCTCTTCTAAATCAACAAGCTAACTCTATTGATCTCAGTTGTTTTCATAGTTGTTTGATGTTAATGATAATATCCTTTTCTATAAACTAAATTGTAAACAAATCTTCTATATATATCATATCAGTCAGGTCTTGTTTTGACCTACCCGTATAATGCCACATTTTACGCTGGGCGAAAGGTGACTTCATAACCAGGGAGGGGTGGTCGGGTAGCCTAGTGGTTAAAGCGTTCGCTCGTCACACCGAAGACCCGGGTTCGATTCCCGACATGGGTACAATGTGTGAAGCCCATTTCTGGTGTCCCCCTCCTAATATTGCTGGAACATTGCTAAAAGTGGCGTAAAACCATACTCACTCACTCATAACCAGGGAGGACTGTACACTCTCCATGTCAGTCCTCATCAAACGCAGAGGGGGCGGTCGGGTAGGCTAGTGGTAAAAGCGTTCGCTCGTCACGCCGAAGACCCGGGTTCGAATCCCGACATGGGTAAATTGTGTGAAGCCCATTTCTGGTGTCCCCCGCCGTGATATTGCTGGAATATTGCTAAAAGAGGCGTAAAACCATACTCACTCACTCACTCACTCACTCACTCATAATAAATAACCTGGGCCCGTTCACCATCATATTTTTGTTTCGCTGTGCCGTCACCATCTCCGTTATATAACTTAGATACTGTTCATAGCGGCGATGATTTCATATAAGTCCGTAGGTTTAATTTATTAAATGTGTTGTTGCAGAATAAAAGATGGAACAATGGCGGGGATGAATTTGCTGTTGCCCCTGGTTACAAACCCATGTCACTGGATGACCCGAGAAGACTGAAGCAGATTGAGACCTACTCAGACACAGCTCAGGTGAGTAACCACTCGCAGACGCAGTAACGCACGTTTTTGTTTTGTTTGTTTGTATGTTTGTTTGTTGTTTAACGCCGCACTCAGCAATATTCCATCTATATGACGGCGGTCTGTAAATTACCAAGTCTGGACCGCACAATCCAGTGATTGACATCATGAGCATCGATCCACGCAATGGGGATACCATGACATGCATCAACCAAGTCAGTGAGCCTGACCACCCGATCCCGTTAGTTGCCTTTTACGGCAAACATGGATTGCTGAAGACCGGTTCTACCCCGGATCTTCACGGGTACGCACATACGCTCATGTAGGTACATGTACACGTAGTGTTGGATGGTTATTTGAAGCTGTCGTGGACATCTATATATCTGTCACGATATGTAATTTAAATATTCAGTCACCGGTTTTCCTTGTCCAAACTATATTATTTTCAGGATTATAATCATGAACAAGTCAAATACACTCACTAACTCTCAGCGATAAACGTCATTGGCACGATTTGAGCGTTACTCCCGCACTGAGTAACGAATCATAGACTAACGAGTCTATGCACTGTCCAATCAAAATCGCGTAACGATCTAGACATCCGGTTCATAAACAACATAGATTTCAAGTGCAGATTTCGGTCGACAGCAGGATGTGCAGAGCACGTGTACCGTCAACTGGGCTTGGACAGATATTTTCCTAATCTTTTCATGTTTTTAATCAAGATGTTCAGGTAATTTGATGCACCTCGCGAGATAAGACCCGTTTATTTCAACATAGATTTTGATAATCGATCAGATCGTCTTGACTGGGCGTTGCCATATTGCTTGAAACAAATGCAGGGTAACATATATTTTTAATTACTTAACAGCGCAAAACGAAATCCCTTTAGCTGATTCCGCAGACCCGAAAGTAATGAAAATTGGAAATGGCACACTTAAAACGAAGATGTTTTATTCCGACTAATCCAAACATGCTCACCACAAAAATACATTGTACATACCTGAGTCTAAACAACGATACTGAAGCGACGAGCTCTGCTAACACGGGTAATATGGCAACCCTGTGATGCACATGGCCCTTTGAAGAACAAGAACAATCTGAAAGGTCAATTACAGTCAATTATATACCTGTTCTAATCATTCACGATCGTCAAATCGGTATTCTCAAGCGTCTTGTTAGCATAGAAGGTCGCGGTGTGCGGTAGGACGCTTAAGATGCGTTCGAACTATCCCTTCTTGTGTACATTGAACGTTTCTGACACCTTTTCTTTATTTGGCAGCATTTCATTTTGAACAATTGATGCATCATTTGGGAGATGCAAATTATTTTTATAAATTGGATTTATTTTGTTTCTTAGGGTCTCTTTTGCTAAGATTTTGTTTCAGTAGTAAATCTCTAGTAGCAGATGCCCCAACATATAAATTGTTCAATGTGTTTAATTCAATGGCTTCTTTTTTAGTATCCAAGTATTACTGATACTTTGATGAAATAATTTACAAAAACATTTGATTTGATTGACACCTGAGTTTGGAAAAAGACGTAGTGCTCTAAAAAAGATGTGTTCGTGTGAAACAGCATATGGCGTAATATCATTAATAACCCATTTCGCCCTGAAATGCCCATGGAGAGACAAGTCTAGGGTACTGGGGACCTATTTCGCCCTGAAATGCCCACAGAGAGACAAGTCTAGGGTACTGGGGACCTATTTTGCCCTGAAATGCCAATGGAGAGACAAGTCTAGGGTACTGGGGACCTATTTCGCCCTGAAATGCCCATGGAGAGACAAGTCTAGGGTACTGGGGACCTATTTCGCCCTGAAATGCCCACAGAGAGACAATGGGACCTATTTCGCCCTGAAATGCCCATGGAGAGACACGTCTAGGGTACTGGGGACCTATTTCGCCCTGAAATGCCCACAGAGAGACAAGTCTAGGGTACTGGGGACCTATTTCGCCCTGAAATGCCCACAGAGAGACAATGGGACCTATTTCGCCCTGAAATGCCCATGGAGAGACAAGTCTAGGGTACTGGGGACCTATTTCGCTCTGAAATGCCCACAGAGAGACAATGGGACCTATTTCGCTCTGAAATTCCCATGGAGAGACAAGACTAGGGTACTGGGGACCTATTTCGCTCTGAAATTCCCATGGAGAGACAAGTCTAGGGTACTGGGGACCTATTTCGCCCTGAAATGCCCATGGAGAGACAAGTCTAGGGTACTGGGGACCTATTTCGCCCTGAAATGCCCACAGAGAGACAATGGGACCTATTTCGCTCTGAAATGCCCATGGAGAGACAAGTCTAGGGTACTGGGGACCTATTTCGCCTTGAAATGCCCATGGAGAGACAAGTCTAGGGTACTGGGGACCTATTTCGCTCTGAAATTCCCATGGAGAGATAAGTCTAGGGTACTGGGGACCTATTTCGCTCTGAAATGCCCACAGAGAGACAATGGGACCTATTTCGCTCTGAAATTCCCATGGAGAGACAAGTATAGGGTACTGGGGACCTATTTCGCTCTGAAATGCCCACAGAGAGACAATGGGACCTATTTCGCTCTGAAATGCCCATGGAGAGACAAGTCTAGGGTACTGGGGACCTATTTCGCCTTGAAATGCCCATGGAGAGACAAGTCTAGGGTACTGGGGACCTATTTCGCTCTGAAATTCCCATGGAGAGATAAGTCTAGGGTACTGGGGACCTATTTCGCTGTGACACTAGTCCTGAAGTCCTCGCCAAACTGCCCAACAGTTACGGCATAATAAGGACCAGTAGAAATGTGCCCTCTAAAGGGGTTTGCTATATGTTATCATTAAAAAAACTAGTGGAGTAAAGCTGTTAGGTTCTACCATAAAGTCTCGACAACAAAAGTGAATGAGTGAGGAAGGGGAGAGGGGTGGGGTCGGGGGGTGGGGGGGGTCAAGAACGAGCATGCTCAACACAACAATTCTCAGCAATACACATTCCAAAACGCAACTGAACAATGTACGTCGCCGATACAGCACTCCTATCCAGTTATTTGTCAACACTTATAACGTCTTGCTTCATTTACCCAGCGACTGCTAGTGTCACGTCAATGAGTGTAAGGTCAAAGTAATTGAGATGTATGGCGACCCCGGGTAAACTACACTCCCACCTACACCGCCACGTGTATTGAAATCTCACTTATTATCTCCGCCGTCATATCCGTGCTGGAGAAGGATATGACTTTAATTGGGAATATTTGCATCTCTCGGGATATGTAGGAGCGCCCCTGATGATAAAGACCGATTGCTCTCTATAATAATCTGCATGCATAGAGGAATAAGGAATGACACTGTAGAGCTAGGGGGTGCTTTCCGCTCGTAGTGTAGCTTGGATATTGACATAATCGTCAGTGAATATACGTGGAGTTGTTTGGGGCATATCACTTCACTGAATAAACGACTAAATTTTTCATGCTGCAAATAACACAGGGGCCGGAGGTCCTCATTCAAATAATGTTTTTTTCCTGTTTACTGAAAATGTGTTCGTAACAAAATATTCCTTATTTGAACCAGAGTTTCCTAAGTCAAAAACTCTGGTTAAAGGGCTCTCTATCGTGAATAGGACGTTACATGCATTGGCCTTTCACTACGATAGAGCCCGATTGATATTGGACGACGCTAAAAATAGCCGTCCAATCAAATTCCTCTCACTAGCTAAAAGAAAGTCTGCGCAAAAGTTAGCGATTGGAAAGTTGGAGATGGTGACGGCACAACGAAACAAAAATATGATGGTGAACAGGCCCAGGTTATTTATTATGATAGAATGTCGATTTAATACACTGACATATAGAATATAGCACAACATAGGTAGATGTACATGTAATTTAAGGCCCCATGAAGAATTATGGGTTAGAATTGGTCTTCAGCAACTCATGCTTGTCGTAAGAGGCGACTAACGAGATCGGATGGTCAGTTCGCTGACTTGGTTGATGTTTGTCATCGTATCTCAATTGCATAGATGTATGCACGTGATGACAGTCACTGGATTGTTTGGCCCAGACTCAATTATGTACAGAGCGCAATCATGTATAGCTGGAATAGTGCTGGGTGTAATAATAAAAAACAACAACAAAAACATGTAATTTTGTTTTAGCTAAAAAAAAAGATTGTCCCCGAAATTATTCTGATGCAGAGTGTTTTTCTTTGAATGGGTTTTGTAGCTGTAGCTTGAAAAAAATGTTTCGATACAAAATTATCAAACGGTCTGTCCCTTAAGGCACAATTATCCCAAATTACCCTAATGCTGGAAATACTCGCAAAAGTAAGGTGAACTTCAGAACTTGTGTGGCTCGATTTCAATTGTAAGAGTGGATCTTTTGAAGAGATTATTCCTAAATCTCTCCTCAACAAGGGCCGTGCAAATGATCAATCGGGCTTAAGGTAACGCAAGTATTTGTCTTCACGACTGTGTATTGTGGTTTGTAAGAGACGTCAACATCGGGACGTTGTCACACGAGCACCCTCTGTCGGCACTTGCGGGCCTTTACAAGTAGGGCCTGGAGTCCTCATGCTAAGTACATAGAAAAACAAAGGTCTTAAAAGGATTTATCTTTTTCTATTCTTTCTATTCATGTATACACCACGTTGACTTCACCGTTATAATGCCACGAGATGATGATGATAATAATAATAATAATAATGATAATAATAATGTTAACAGTCACATTGCCATCCCATCCTACCGGGTACCCATTCACAGCTGGGCGAACAGAGGAATATATTTCGACATTTTAACATGGCAATGTGTCCTGTTAAAACGTTTTTCGTCTATTAATTTAACAGATTTATTTTGGGTTTTTTTTAATATAGATATGGAGAGAAACAGTGAAATTGTAGAATTACTTAAAATGACTAAATAACCACTGTGAATACATGTTTATTCCACTATACCAGGACGACATATACATTACGCCGTGCTTAAGAGACATCGTTATACGAGTGAGGTGCCTGTGGGTGAATGAATTTAGAAGTCCGAGCTATAGCGGGATCAACTGTAGAATCGAAAGAGAACTATAATAATTAAAAAATAAATGGACATAAACATTACAAAAAGTATATTTCGTACAATATTCTTAAATCCTCCGCCTATCGGGTCTTATTTCCCACTCGGTACTTGTTTGAACCTGAATCTGGTGTCCCCCATCGTGCAATTGCTGGCACAAACCCTATCTCATCGCTGTTTAAAGTGAGTGAGTGATTGAGTGAATTTTTGCCACGATGAGCAATAATCCAGCTATATCCCACGGACAGCAATGGTGATAGTATGATTGTTTGTTGTTCAACGCCGCACTCAGCAATATCCCAGCTATATAACGGTGGTCTGTAAATACCCGAGTCTGGACCAGACAATCCAGTGATTCACATCATGCGCAATCATCTACGCACCCAATAAGCAAGCCTGACCAGTAGGTTGCGAGAGTGATGTTTCATTTTAATTTTATTTTTCTTCATACAAGTATTTTTTCCTTCAGTCGGTAATCTACACCACGATCGTTGTCTTCTTATCATGACTGGGGGTCTCTCTGTGAGGCCGAAATTAATCTAGTCAGATAATCAGATCAGCAAAACATTGAGCATGGATTATAATACTTGAAGATGCACTTAACATGCAGACTGTTTTAAGGCAGGTGAAGGATGGGCCAATGGCAATAGCTGAAATATGCGCTAATATACTGAGTGAAAGAAATAATCAAACTACTTAATAGAAAAGCGTGTGCTTGGTGTGTGGTATGGTTAGTAATAAACTATGTGACCCGAGAATTTCAGAGTGATATGAAATTTTATACTGCCTCAGAAAGATTATTCAACGTTAAAGTGAACACTTCATGTAGTATCACTCCACTAAAATATTGTCGATGTGAAGCGTTTGTACGGACTTATTTGTATATTAATTAACTAATATATGTATTATTAAACACAATCTAATTTTCTGCAACTTGTTATATTTCTGTAAGATGAGTGAGAGAGTGGCATGTTCCTTATTCTTAAATATTGAATATCTCGATTTCATTTTGAAACGGGGATAATTTATGTTTTCACCAACCGTACTCTTGACATTTGACTTTTTGGGCCGGCGGTCCTTTATATTATGGTATTAGCCTTATATGGAATTCACGTGGTGACGTTTACTGCTCTGTGTAAACCCACGAGCCTTGCTAGGGCGATGATAAATCCATTTATAAGATCCATAAGAACTTATCAATGCACAACGCAAATAATACATTATTAAATTAAAATGTCAACATTTATAATTCAAGTTGTCATTTATTCTAGCAAAATCATTTCAAACCTTTTACAATTTTTTTCAAATTTCAAATTTTCTCAGATACTGAAATCGTAACGTCACACTAAGTCATACATTAGATTTAGTCGTAAACTTTCCTTATCAAGCCTGTCTTATTAATAACCCGAACCCAAGCACCCGTAATCTCAACATGATTGTTGCCTTATCGAATAGTTAATAAACGACGCCTTTAACCCTGTGCGGAGCACTCTATTTCTATACTCTGTCTGAGCGAGTCAAACTTTGTGATTTATATGGTACTGCGATCGGCACTCAAATCAGATTTGAGTTTTTGCACTGTCAAGGCTGGTGACATGCGTCAGGAGTTAATCGTTTTTGTCCATTTGTTTCCCTTTTAAGTCCAGATACGTGAAGTTGCCTGGGCGCCTGGCAGATTGACAATAAATATTTGTGTAGGCGACATTCGCTACCTTCCCAGGGTGTTCCAAATAACATATTTTTTTTATAAGTCATCGAACATTTTTTATATTTTAAATGCAATACACATTAGTATCAACGAACATTTGTTTCTATTTAAAATGCAATACACATTAGTGTCAATTTCACTAAAAGAATACACAAAACCCTTATGAATTTTGTAGAGCTTAATGGGTTGTATGTAGGGTGGCACATGGGCCTGTGAGTGTCAGTAGAAGTCAAACCAGACTGGTGGTGTATAGTTGGTGAATGGGAGACTGCGCCCGGGGACTTGACTGTTGGAAATTTCCGAGACTTAGGTCCAGATCGTCTAAGCTCAAATTGACTACAAGTTAAGTGGGATTATGTCGCGTAAACATGAATTATAAGAATGAATCACTGGAATGAGTGGTTGTTGGGTTTAACGCCGCTTTTAACAGTATTTCCAGTTATATCACGGCGTGTCAGCTTAATGTGGGAGGAAAGTCCGAAGTGATGCAGGTCTCAGACGTTTACCACTTCGGTGAAGCCCACGAGCACGGGTATGGTGCTGACAAACTTAGAAACATAATCGGGGCGAACCGGGATTCGAACCCACAATCATAGGTTTCTGGTGTGCCCAAGGGACGCAACTCTGCACAGCGAATCGCCCAGACGACTGGGCCACCCGTGCCCCCGAATCACTGGAAATCAGTGATGACACCAGGTGTTCGTGAAAAAGGTAGGCATGACCTGCTCTACATGTAGCACCCGCCACTCACACAATTTGCTTAAAAAAGAAAGTGTTTGTTTGTTTTCTGACGCCGCACCCAATCAGGAGATTACATGATTTTAACATGCACTTATCTTTATACTTAGGTGTTATAATCATTAGGCGTTAACTCGAATAATCAGTTAGCGAGCACCTGTCAGTCCTACCTGTAGAGAGTATCCATGCATCACTCCGTGATGAAGTATTAACAATTATTCATCAGTATTAAAGGATGCAAGCGCTGAACAGCTGTTTAGAAAGAGCGGGAGGTGTATTTAAAAAACCCCATAAAAATGTCAACACATTATTTAGGAAACAATTTGTTTTTTAGCCAAAAAATAGTTACTAAATTGTTGTATTTGTTAAAAACCTTTCATCACAACATTTGGTTATGATTATGTTATCATCAATATGGTTAGTACACTGTATACTTTTAAAAGGGGGCGGGGCATCCTGCACCCCCACCCTGCAGTATCCGTGTTCGGGACACGCCTGATGTGCCGCTGGGCAGCCTAGTGGTTTTAGATAACATTTACAAATTAGGATACACTTTGTGAAGCTCATTTCTTTCCTAAATTACTATACTTCTGCAGTACTGCCACACCAGCAGTGGTCATGTCACACATTGTGATTGGAGGTACATTTTTTTTATTCTTATTAACGCAATAATCCAGTAATTAAACATCTTGATTGTCTTTAACGCGATACCCTAGTAATAGTTGGTTGGTTGGTTGGTTGTTTAACGCCGCACTCAGCAATATTCCAGCTATATGACGGCGGTCTGTAAATAATCAAGTCTGGACCAGACAATCCAGTGATTAATATCATGAGCATCGATCCACGCAATTGGGATCGATGACATGCATCAACCAAGTCAGCGAGCCCGACCACCCGATCCCGTTAGTCGCCTTTTACGACAAGCATAGTCACCTTTTACGGCAAGCATGGGTTGCTGAAGACCTGTTCTACCCCGGAATCGTCACGGGTCCCCTAGTAACAGAAATTCCAACCTGCGCCACAACCAGTTTGTGTATGGGGGAATTTATGTTGATGATGTAACATTCCTTCTTGCAGGGTTTGACAGTCGTCAAGGATCCATCGGACGGTATCAAGGCGTGCTTCATCACCGACCTGGACCCCGAGTTCTTCTTGGACGTAGAGGAGAAACTTGGCATCGTGAACTCGCCTGACCATGTACGTCTCTCTCTGTATTTGTTTTACACTAAGAGTTAACACGTAACCCTTTATGTATTTTTTTACATTAAGGGTTGAAACAATGCACCCCTACTATCCAAAATGTATCCGTGCTTGTTTGTGTAGGGAATCCCTGCCGTGACGGAGCTAAAGTATTTTCTGCAGGGGATATACAATGCTTATTGACAGCAGACAATGGCGATTATGTTTACGAAGAAACCCGTTCGAATTACCATTTTCACATATGTTGGATGTTCTTTAACAGCTTAAGTTGGTGCAAAGACATATATACGTCTTTGGTTGTGGGAAAACTGGGCCCACTTTCACAAAGCGATCTTAGCGCTAAGACTGTTGTATGCTGAAGTATGGGAGTTACAATCATCTTAGCGCTAAAATCGCTTTGTGCAAGTGGGCCCTGGACACGTCGATTGCAATACAGGGGAGGAACCTCTGACTGGCAAAAATACTCTTTGAGATTTGTTTTGCTAACTTTTGCAGCTACATTCACTGACTCATTTTAGGAGCCGTTCATCGTCAGCAGCCCGATGAAATACCAGGAATTTGAGAGGAGGGCTGGACCCATCATCACCAAACTCTGCAGTCGTCTTCACACGTTCTGGCTCAACGAGCAACTCCCACCACCCCTGGTAAAAGGCCAAGCCCCACCCTCTGCCTTCAGAACGCCACCCCCTCTCATCAAGACCCCACCCCCACTCCATCTGGCCAACCACAATGAAGTTGAGACCGTTCTTGCCCCCGGGGCCCTTGCCCATGTGATGAACACTCCTCCCTCACTCCACCGCGAAATCAAGACCCCACCCCCACTCCATCTGGCCAACCATAATGAAGTTGAGACCGTTCTTGCCCCCGGGGCTCTTGCCCATGTGATGAAAACCCCTCCCCCTCTCCCCAAAGCCCTGAAGGTCCCTCCCCCACTCACCCACAACTTTAAAGTCCCCCCTCCCCTGAAGTAGAGAGAGACTTTCTCCTGATACCTGGTGAAACGTAACATGCATTTTTGTGGAGAGATTTGTTAGGCGCGCTGTATACGTCGTGTTGTTTATACGCAGATAGAGGATCACAGTACCTGAGTCGGATATATAGAGAGTGGAACTTATCAAACAAATGGCCTGATTTTATTCCACGCTTTTGTTTCTGCGTGCATTGGGAGTATAATGATCACTGATGTCATGTTAGCGAATCCACAGACTTGATTAAATAAAAGTCTTCTGTCATACACATGTTTTCATTCTTAGTTTATTTCTGTCTTCCCTGGAGTCGATTTACCGGTTTCCTTACCTTAAATGACCGGAAAACGGAACATCCGTAAAAGGCGACTGTGCTTGTCGTATGAGGCGACTAATGGGATCGGGTGGTCAGGCTTGCTGACTTGGTTGAAGCATGATCGATGCTCATGATGTCAATCACTGGATTGTCTGGTCCAGACTCAATTATTGAGTATACTTTGGTATACTAATGCTATGTGACGGCGGTCTGTGCATTATCGAGTCTGGACCAAACAAACCAGTGGTGGATATTGTGAGCACCTAACGTACGGTGTACGACTCGCAATCAACCAAATCACCACCCGATCAATTTACAGTCCTTTTTTATGGGCTATTACAAGCTAGCTTATCTTCATCCAGTCCTATTTTTGAAGCAGAAATTGAAATCAGTAAGTTAGATTTAACCAATCAGAGCTGGCTTAAACCAGACATACGTAAGGAGCAGTGTTGTGGGCGAGGGAGATTTGAGCAGTCCTAGCTATATGACGGCGGTCTGTTCATAATCGACTAGACAAACCAGTTGAATGTAAACAAGATGAACGAATAACACCATCGGACAATGTGTGTGTGTGTGTGTGTGTGTGTGTGTGTGTGTGTGTGTGTGTGTGTGTGTGTTTGTTTTGATGGTTTTTAATTTCAGAGGTAAAATTGATTTGTCTCTGACAAAAAAATGAAACGAAATTACGAAGAACCTGCTTGAAGTCAACGTATTGTTCTAATGATGTAATGGTATTAATGTCTCACGTCATGGACAGTAAATGACGTCATATAGCATTTTCAACAGTGGCGCAGTATGATGTCATATTACTGTAACTGACCAATCAGCATTAAGAATCTCCAAAATACACATGTGCAAATATGGGAAATTTCGAGTGTTCAATTTTACACCTGTGGGTTATATTTTGGCTTGACGTCGCTTTCATCAGGATTAAAGTTTGATCACTTTGGATAAAGCCTTTGCGGTGCAGATAGTAAACGTTTACTCTGCTGTTTGGTGAATTTCACGAGCACGCGCATAGTGTCGACCAGGATCATAAGGAGGATATTCTAGGATTCGAACCCGCGATCGGCGGGATGCAACACTGCACTGCGAATGGTGGTTCCTTAGACATCTCGGCTACCTCTGCCCCTAGGGCCTTGTGGAAATTATCCTTCCCCGGAATTCCGTCAGTGGCATAACACTGAGTATCATCGTCACTCGAACAATGAAACTAAGGATAGATCTGAACTACTTGAGCAATGACAAACAATATGTATCACCGCCATTCGAACAAACTAACAATATCTATCACCGTCACTCGAACAATCCAACTCACAACATACATCACCGTTACTCGAACCATCACACAAACACTCACACTAAGGACTGTACCATCATCAAATAACGTCAACTTTACAACATGCACCGTCACACAAACACTCACACTAAGAACTGTACCATCATCAAATAACGTCAACTTAACAATATGCACCGTCACACAAACAATCACACTAAGGACATGTACCATCATCAAATAACGTCAATTAACAACATGCACCGTCACACAAACACTCACACTAAGGACATGTACCATCATCAATAACGTCAACTTAACAACATGCACCGTCACTCAAACACTCACACTAAGGACATGTACCATCATCAATAACGTCAACTTAACAACATGCACCGTCACACAAACACTCACACTAAGGACATGTACCATCATCAAATAACGTCAACTTAACAACATGCACCGTCACACAAACACTCACACTAAGGACATGTACCATCATCAATAACGTCAACTTAACAATATGCACCGTCACACAAACACTCACACTAAGGACATGTACCATCATCATATAACGTCAATTAACAACATGCACCGTCACTCAAACACTTACACTAAGGACATGTACCATCATCAAATAACGTCAACTTAACAATATGCACCGTCACTCAAACACTTACACTAAGGACATGTACCATCATCAAATAACGTCAACTTAACAATATGCACCGTCACACAAACACTCACACTAAGGACATGTACCATCATCATATAACGTCAATTAACAACATACACCGTCACTCAAACACTTACACTAAGGACTGTACCATCATCAAATAACTTCAATTAACAACATGCACCGCCACACAAACACTCACACTAAGGACATGTACCATCATCAAATAACGTCACCTTAACAACATGCACCGTCACTCGAACACACACACTAAGAACTGTACCATCATCAATAACGTCAGTTAACAATTGCGCCGTCACTCGAACACTCGCACTAAGGACATGTACCATCATCATATAACGTCAATTAACAACATGCACCGTCACTCGAACACACACACTAAGAACTGTACCATCATCAATAACGTCAGTTAACAATTGCGCCGTCACTCGAACACTCGCACTAAGGACTGTACCATCATCATATAACGTCAATTAACAACATGCACCGTCACTCAAACACTTACACTAAGGACATGTACCATCATCAATAACGTCAGTTAACAATTGCGCCGTCACTCGAACACTCGCACTAAGGACTGTACCATCATCAAATAACGTCAATTAACAACATACACCGTCACTCAAACACTCACACTAAGGACATGTACCATCATCAAATAACGTCAATTAACAACATGCACCGTCACTCGAACACACACACTAAGGTGATGAACCATCATCAAATAACGTCAATTAGCAACATGCACCGTCACTCGAACACTCGCACTAAGGGCATGTTCCATCATCAATAACGTCAATTAACAATGTGCACCGTCACTCAAACACTTACACTAAGGACATGTACCATCATCAATAACGTCAGTTAACAATTGCGCCGTCACTCGAACACTCGCACTAAGGACTGTACCATCATCAAATAACGTCAATTAACAACATACACCGTCACTCAAACACTCACACTAAGGACATGTACCATCATCAAATAACGTCAATTAACAACATGCACCGTCACTCAAACACACACACTAAGGACATGTTCCATCATCAATAACGTCAATTAACAACATACACCGTCACTCAAACACTTACACTAAGGGCATGTACTATCATCAAATAACGTCAATTAACAACATACACCGTCACTCAAACACTCACACTAAGGACTGTACCATCATCAAATAACGTCAATTAACAACATACACCGTCACTCAAACACTTACACTAAGGGCATGTACTATCATCAAATAACGTCAATTAACAACATACACCGTCACTCAAACACTCACACTAAGGACATGTACCATCATCAATAACGTCAACTTAACAACATGCACCGTCACACAAACACTCACACTAAGGACATGTACCATCATCATATAACGTCAATTAACAACATGCACCGTCACTCGAACACTCACACTAAGGGCATGTACCATCATCATATAACGTCAATTAACAACATGCACCGTCACACAAACACTCACACTAAGGACATGTACCATCATCAAATAACGTCAATTAACAACATGCACCGTCACTCAAACACTTACACTAAGGACATGTACCATCATCAAATAACGTCAACTTAACAATATGCACCGTCACACAAACACTCACACTAAGGACATGTACCATCATCATATAACGTCAATTAACAACATGCACCGTCACTCAAACACTTACACTAAGGACTGTACCATCATCAAATAACGTCAATTAACAACATGCACCGCCACACAAACACTCACACTAAGGACATGTACCATCATCAAATAACGTCAACTTAACAACATGCACCGTCACTCGAACACACACACTAAGAACTGTACCATCATCAATAACGTCAGTTAACAATTGCGCCGTCACTCGAACACTCGCACTAAGGACTGTACCATCATCATATAACGTCAATTAACAACATGCACCGTCACTCAAACACTTACACTAAGGACATGTACCATCATCAATAACGTCAGTTAACAATTGCGCCATCACACAAACACTCACACTAAGGACATGTACCATCATCAAATAACGTCAATTAACAACATACACCGTCACTCGAACACACACACTAAGGACATGAACCATCATCATATAACGTCAATTAGCAACATGCACCGTCACTCGAACACTCGCACTAAGGGCATGTTCCATCATCAATAACGTCAATTAACAATGTGCACCGTCACTCAAACACTTACACTAAGGACATGTACCATCATCAATAACGTCAGTTAACAATTGCGCCGTCACTCGAACACTCGCACTAAGGACATGTACAATCATCAAATAACGTCAATTAACAACATGCACCGTCACTCGAACACACACACTAAGGACATGTTCCATCATCAATAACGTCAATTAACAACATACACCGTCACTCAAACACTCACACTAAGGACTGTACCATCATCAAATAACGTCAATTAACAACATACACCGTCACTCAAACACTTACACTAAGGTATGTACTATCATCAAATAACGTCAATTAACAACATACACCGTCACTCAAACACTCACACTAAGGACTGTACCATCATCAAATAAAGTCAATTAACAACATACACCGTTACTCAAACACTCACACTAAGGGCATGTACCATCATCAAATAACGTCAATTAACAATGTGCGCCGTCACTCGAACACTCGCACTAAGGACATGTACCATCATCAAATAACGTCAATTAACAACATGCACCGTCACTCAAACACTCACACTAAGGACTGTACCATCATCCAAGAACGTCAATTAACAATGTGCACTGTCACTCGAACACTCACACTAAGGGCATGTACCATCATCAAATAACGTCAATTAGCAATGTGCACCGTCACTCAAACACTTACACTAAGGGCATGTACCATCATCAAATAACGTCAATTAACAACATACACCGTCACTCAAACACTCACACTAAGGACTGTACCATCATCCAAGAACGTCAATTAACAATGTGCACTGTCACTC